CATCCTTGCCCTGGTAGCCAAATATGTGCCCGTCAGCATCCTGGAGGACCCCATCTTCATCGTCGTCTGCTTCCTGCTCGTGGGTGCTCCTTCGGCTCTGCAGCTGGCTCAGATCTGCCAGATCAACAACGTCTATATGGGCGCCATGTCGAGGATCCTCTTCCATTCCTATGTCATATGGTAAGTCACGCTCTAGTCCCTAGTGTTAGCATTAGTATCACTAACGTAAGACCCGATCTAGGATCCTCCCGTCGACGCTTATACTCGTGATATCAGCTCTGCAGGTCGTCCAATGGGCCGCCAACTAGTTTCTTCTTCTTCTTCATCTTCTTCATCTTTCATTCACTGGTATCTTTTTTCTTCCCTTCTCCAGCTGGGGCAGCCCTTGCAAACGGCTTCATCATCATCATCATCTGCATCTTTCGGTTAGTCTGTATTATGTCTGGTCTCTGGTCGTCGGCGCGGCAAACAAAAAGGGGCTTCTTCTTGTTTTCTAGTAGTGAAATGGCAGCTTCATGGATGTAACTATTTATCACGTAAATAATGCAACAACATCGACTCCGGCTCCAGCCTTCATCGCGTTCCTCCTTCGGCTTTTTATATCCTCGAGGTTTTCGAGTTTGAAAGCAACAAAAAAGCAAAGCAAGTCACATGATGCTCCAGCCTTAAAGAGGCAAAGCGCCTTTCCTGCATAAACCTGCCTTATCGGGCCACAAAGTCACATGCTTCACCTTCTTTTTTTCTTCTTCTCGCTTGATTTTTCTTCGTCTCTTTCGACTTCTTCAACTTCTTCTCTCTTTCTTCTTCATCTTTGTCGTTCTTCATCGACCTTTACGACGTTCTCTTTCGCTTGTGTTATATGTTTACGCAGTTGAGTGACACTGACGGTCAGATTTAACTTACATACGGCGCACAGAGGCCTTCTGTACGATCCACGTTGGGCTCCAAGGATCAAATGTCAAGCATCAAGCTTATGTGTATTGAGCCTCCACTCTAACCAAGCCAGTACCCGACGATCGCTCACACAGTCCTCGCTTGCTCGCTCGCTTACTCCGTACGTGGATGCAGAATTCTCTCTCGCCTTCGTTTCTCCCGCCAGAAGAACCGACAAAACCCTGCAGCTGTCCAGGCTGTCTGCTGATGGTAAGAAGTGGCATATCAAGGCATCGAGGACAGGAATCAAAAGAAAAAGAAAAGGAGAAAGGAGAAAAAGAAAAATAGGTGAAAGGAATACCGTCTAGGCAGATAGCTATCTATATTCATTATTAGATTGTTGGTTCTCTTCTTTTCTGGAGACTGTTAGAAGGGTTGCTTTGCTTGCCTGTTCTATAGTTGCTGGCCTACGCCTGTTTCTCTCTCGCTATTTTCTTCTACCAATCCGCTCTCTGGACTCTTGACCTCCTGTTGGATAACAAATTATTCCGTTCCGGGTGATATCTTCAGAAGGTTCTCTTCTCTTCTCCTCTTCTTCTCTTGTTCACTCTTTTGTTCTCCTCTCCTTTCTTCTGCGCGCATATCTACTACTATACCAACCAACCATAGTCTGCGCGCGCCAGCATGGACAGCTCAACACGCCCACCCACGCAGAAGAGTCTTAGTGAGTCCCTGTTTCACACCCCTTCTTTCTATCCGTTTGACTCTCTTTCAGCTGCTGTAGTGTTTGTCAGTCTGTATGGTATGCTTGTGTTGCTTGTTGGCAGTTGGCGATATATAATGGCTGGAGAGTGCTCTGATATAGTCTACTTTCTTGTATCAGATTACATTTCTAGCCTATTGAGACTGAATTTCAAGGAGACATGTAGTCATATATATAATACTGTGCCCTACAGTATAGAAAGAGAGAGAGAGAGAGAGATTACTTTGCTAACATTGGCCTGATTAGCTCTTAATACCAAAAATATAGAGCCAACAACCATACCAGTAGCACCGACATCAGCACCATCAACAGCACCTGTAGCAACTCAGCAAGGGGAGGATCAGCAGCAGCAGCAGCCTTCTACAGCAACACCAGATACCCCGGGGACCCGAAAGACGTTCCGTCCAGGCAAAAAAGGAGTTTCTACTCGACCAGGCCTGCCAAAGTCTTCCTCTGCCTCTCTTAAGTCGGTGTCGAGCCAGATATCCCATCTAAGCCTTGACCGTTCAAATAGCGACTTGAGCATAAGCAGCAATGCAAATGCAAATAATAACACCACTGGATTGCCAACGGTATCCACATCCACAGACGAAGACCCGCTATCTTCGTCCCTCTCATCATTCCCGGCCTTACCACCACCCACATCTGAGCCACAGTCGTTTCTCTTCCGCAGTAGTACGGCGGATGATGTCAGCATACAGGCTCAGTACCATGCTCTGCTAGGCCAAGTTCAGCAATGGCTGCATCAGGAGAAGTCAAAGCTAGGCCTGCCATCTGCATCCACAGCTACATCTACGGCAAGGTCCCCACGCCTCCTGCCACGATCTACTTCTGCGCCTATCAAGGGGGAGCTGGCAGCTGATGATTCTACAACGGGAGCTCTACAGGCACCAGAGTCAACTCTTGCATTGGAAAAGTTGGAAAAAATCCTCTCCCAGTATTCCGCAGATGGATTGTCTGGATCATCCGGGACTCCTTGGAGACGAAGAAGAGGCGGTTCATGGGGCCAGGGGAAGCGAGGTTATGGCTTGAAGGGCCTACGACGTGGCTCGGCTTCGGATTCAGATTATACTGATAACGAAATGTCAGTCCCCAGTGCCGATGTGGTGCTTGATAACTCCAAGACTCTTCTATATTCCGGTGGCGAGGCCGATTCGGATCTTGATATGCAACCTGAAGGCAGCAAACCGTCTACCAGCAAGGATAGAGAGTACTGGCTGTATTTCAAGTCCGAGATCGTTCGGTTGACGCATACTCTTGGATTTAAGGGGTGGCGAAGGGTTCCTCTTGACGCAGGGGGGGAAGTTGAGGTCATTCGCTTGAGTGGTGCTCTCACAAATGCTGTCTATCAAGTCTCACCGCCGAAGGATATGTCCAAATATTCTCAATCTACATCCAGTCAGGGCCTGATTAGAAAACCTCCTCCGTAAGTGAAACCCCCTGTGCATTGCACGACAGATCAACGTCACTAATGACTAGTAGAAAACTTCTTCTTCGCATCTATGGCCCTCAAGTCGAGCATCTTATAGACAGAGAGCATGAGCTTCAAGTTCTTCGCCGTCTGGGGAAGCGGAACATAGGCCCACGAGTACTTGGAACTTTCAAGAATGGCCGATTCGAGCAATACTTACATGCTCGAACGCTGACCACACGCGACCTACGTATACCAGAAACATCCATCCAGATTGCCAAGCGTATGAGAGAGCTCCATGAGGGTATCGATTTACTACCGGAGGAGCGAGATGCCGGCCCTGGCCTATGGAAGAATTGGGACAAATGGGTTAACCGGTGCGAGAAGGTGATCACCTGGCTGGATAGCGAGATCCTTGCAGACCATAACGAAGGGAAATCGGCCAAAGAGCCATGGAGGAAACGAGGATTCGTCTGTGGTGTTCCCTGGCAAACTTTCCAGAGTATGGTTGATAGGTATCGCCAATGGTTGGTTGTTAGCTTTGGTGGAATAGAAGAGATTACCCGTCGGTTGATTTTTGCTCATAACGACGTGAGTTTCTCCTTCCTCATCACCCTCACACAGCTTTAGCAATGACTAACAAACGGTGTATAGACACAATATGGAAATCTTCTTCGTCTCGAGCCAAGCGGCGAATCACCGTTATTGCTTCCCGCCAACGAGCATAAGCAGCTTATCGTTATTGATTTCGAGTATGCGGCAGCCAATATGCGAGGAGCAGAGTTTGCCAATCACTTCGTAAGTCCAGCATTGTCTCTATATATAATTCCGCAAAAAAAAAGACACTAACGTCTATAGACGGAATGGTGTTATAACTACCATGACGAGGACCGCCCCTGGAGATGCAACACAGCATGGTATCCGACACTTGAAGAGCAAAAGCGATTCATTCGCGCGTATCTCACTCATCGACCCCGTCTTATCTCTGAAACATACAACAATGCCTATCCCTCCGGCCAGAATATCTCTACAAGCTCTGTATCAAGCACCATGACCACACCAGGCCTTAGACCAACATACTCGAGCAGCCCACGCGTTACCCCCTTCAACCTAGACGCATATACCCCTTCCGTACCCTTCTCGATAAGCGAAGTCGACCAAATCGACGAGGAGCTCGAGGTGGAAGTACAGAAACTTCTGCAAGAAGTCCGGGCCTGGCGCATAGCTAACTCAGCCATGTGGGTTGCATGGGGTATCGTGCAGGCCAAGGTCCCCGGTCTCGAGGCCGCAGTTCCATATACTTCAACAGCCGATGCAGCCAACAGCAATGAAAACGAAGGAACTACGACGAGTAACGAAGAAGATATATCTACCACGCCAACGCAGGAAACGGTTGATGTGCAGCAGATGCTAGCAGCTACTGACCAGGCCCTGCAGGAAGCTGAGGTAGATGAAGCTGCGGACGAATTTGATTATCTTGCCTATGCACAAGATCGAGCATTGTTCTTCTGGGCTGATGTCCTGGCTATTGGGTTGATTAAGGAGGAGGAGCTACCTACAGAGATGCTCGAGCATATCAAGAGATATACTGTTGATTATTGATTTGCTTGATATCCTTTCTGTTGGGTTACTTATCGATCATGGTAACTATTCTTTTGCCTATATGTATGGTTTAATTGAGGGTATGCATGGTGTCCATAATGCCATATACTCAAAGTAACGATGATCCTATTTCTTAGTTGTAAGTTTTTTATTATTCGAAGTGCTCTGATTTATATATTCTCCCATTCAATAAACTGAACAGTTATATAGAAATAATAGAGTAAGTGCAAATATATGGAAGAGACTCCCCTTTACTGTCTATAGCCTGTAAAACGAAGAAAAATATGTGACTGCTGTGTGGCTAAATAACCCACTCCATGCATTGTTCGATTGAGTCAGCTCGTTAGTTATAACAGCTTACATCTCGCGACGTTCGACTTTGCTTTTCCGCCCCGGAATAGCCTGAATACCCATTATCAAACCATCAAGCAACATTGAAATGGCGTTTCCAGCACTTCATATAGTCGAACCCAAGGATGCTCACACACATACGGCCGTCCTCCTCCACGGCCGTGCGAGCAACGGTGCTGAGTTCGCTGAAGAGTTCCTTGACTCACACACGTCCGAGAAGAAGACCCTACCAGCCCATTTCCCCGGCTGCAGATGGGTATTCCCTACGTCTCGAGAGCGCTGGAGCGTCGTATTCGAGGAGAACCTGACGGCCTGGTTTGATATCTATTCTCTTGTAAATATCTCGGAGAAGCAGGACCTTCAGGTCGAGGGGCTGAAGGAGTCTACGGCATATCTACTGGACGTCATAAGGAGTGAAGTCGCTCTTCTTGGAGGCCGAAGCGACAGGCTTGTGCTCGCTGGGATGAGCCAGGGCATGGCAACGGCTCTCTGGACACTGCTGTGCTCTCCTGGACTGATCAAGGGTAGGATGGGAGGCATGGTAGGCATGTCTGGATGGTTACCATTTGCCGACGAGATACTCGATCTGAATCCTCAGTCTCAGTCGCAGCCTCAGTCCTTACGAGAGATGATATCGACTCAGTGTGGAGAACACATTCAAGCTACAAATGAAGAGGTCAAGAGGACGCTGTCTACGCCTGTGATACTGCTACATGGGGCGGACGATGCCTGGGTGGGGGTCGAGCTCGGTCGACAGGCCCATGCAGGCCTTGTCAAGCTGGGGATGCCGGCTGTCTTCAAGGAGTATACAGGCGCAGATAACGACGGGCATTGGGTCAAGGAGCCGGAGGGCGTCGATGATATTGTCCGGTTCCTGATGTCAATACAGGAGGAAATATTAGTAACTGAACAGGGCAGACAACCCCTTCAGTAGCATTCGGGAAACTCCTCACAATGTAACGCGCAAAACTTGCATCTGCACTGGGGTCATGGATCGTGGATCTTGGACCATGGGATTGTTTTTTGACGCTGTGGTCGTTAGTGTTTGCCCGGATGCAGGCCGAAAAAGCAAAGAAGGGGAGATCAAGAAGAAGCTGGGGGGCTGGCTCAAGCAGTTGCCCTCTCCGCTCGGCGGGCATCGATGCATTAACTATTTATACCGCCAGCAATGCCGCCGTGTATTTTTATTTTGATCTCACATCTCATGGCCTGAAGGTTGACGGCCGACAGACCAGAATTTAACCAGAGAATACATAACTAATTACCTAACTAGTATTCTCTGTTGGCGTCTGCTGTGAGAAGAATCAGTATGTTTGGGCGCACACTCGCCCTCGCTGCAGTCCTTGCTACGACTGCCGTGTCGGTTGCTGCGTCCCTTGAGAAATGTCCCGGATACAAAGCGTCCAACATAAAAGACAACGGACACACTCTGACAGCAGACCTGAGGCTCGCCGGCAAAGCATGCAATGTTTACGGCGATGATATTAGGCAGTTGAAGCTCCGTGTGGAATATCAGACCCGTAAGCCACTCACCCTAACAACCGTACAGAAGCAGTTCATGCTGACAGGAAAAATAGATGAACGGCTACATGTTATCATTGATGACCCCAAGGAAGATGTATACCAAGTTCCTGAGTCCGTGTTTCCTCGGCCAGAGTCTGAAGAGAACGTCGGTACCTCAATGAAGTCAGCTCTCCAGTTCTCCATGACCCAGAAGCCATTCTCCTTCAAAATAACCAGACGAGCTACCGGTGAAGTCCTCTTTGATACATCCAATTCTCCTTTGGTCTTTGAATCCCAGTATCTACGGCTTCGCACTTCTCTGCCGGATGAGCCTAATTTGTATGGACTGGGAGAGCACAGTGACCCTTTACGCCTGAAGACTGATGGCCTAGTTACTACCCTGTGGAATCGAGATGCCTTTGGTATTCCTCCTGGGACCAACTTGTACGGCTCCCACCCGGTCTATTATGACCATAGAGGAAAATCAGGTACTCACGGCGTCTTTCTCTTGAACTCCAACGGCATGGACGTCAAGGTAGCGAGTGAGGATAGTGGTAATGGGAAGAAATACTTGGAATATAATACTCTGGGAGGCGTCTTTGATTTTTACTTCATGGCCGGGCCGACTCCAAAGGAAGTTGCTTCTCAGTATGCCGAAGTTGTTGGCTTGCCGGCCATGATGCCTTACTGGGGGTTCGGGGTAAGACTTCCAGGCGCATCATACCATAATTTCTCTTCTTCGAAGATGTGAAAATCTCAATACTGACTAAATCTAGTTTCACCAATGCCGGTATGGCTACCGGGATGCTTTCAATGTTGCTGAAGTGGTCTATAACTATAGCCAAGCGGGGATTCCCTTAGAAACTATGTGGACGGACATTGACTACATGGATGGACGTAAAGTGTTCACGCTGGACTCACTGCGCTTCCCCATAGACGAGATGAGAGCCCTAGTAAAATATCTCCATGATCATGATCAGCACTACGTTGTCATGGTAGACCCAGCAGTGAGCTACGGTGATAATGACGCCTTTTACCGAGGAAAAGAGCAAGATATTTTCATGAAAACTTCGAATGGATCAATCTATAAAGGTGAGCTATACACTCCTGTCTCTTTTGTCTACCCTGCTAAGTTATGTATAGGTGCCGTCTGGCCTGGTGTCACTGCATTTCCTGATTGGTTCCATCCTGGAACTCAAGATTATTGGAATAATGAGTTTAAATCGTTTTTCAACCCTGAAAAAGGGATAGACATTGATGCCCTCTGGATAGATATGAACGAGGCTGCCAACTTTTGTGACTGGCCATGTTCTGACCCTGAAGGATGGGAAAGAGACCATGATCTACCACCAACACCCCCACCAGTCAGGCAAATCCCAAGGCCACTACCTGGATTCCCCAGTGAACTCCAGCCGAGAAGCGTCAAACTTGTCAGGCGCAATGGGGTCAAAATTACAAGCAAGGCTGGCTTGCCAGGCCGTAATCTCATCGATCCGCCATACAAAATCCACAATGAAGCTGGATCTATCAGCAATAAGACCATGGATACCAACTTGATTCACGCCAACGGTCTAGTTGAGTATGATACTCACAACCTTTATGGAACCAGTAAGTTTGGACATCTGCTTCTCTGTATACTTTGCACTAAGATTCCATAGTGATGAGTAGCGTGAGTCGAGAGTCCCTTTTGGCTCGACGTCCTACGAAGCGGCCCCTGGTGATCACTCGAAGTACTTTTGCTGGAGCTGGAACTCATGTTGGACATTGGTATGCATTTAGTTACCTCCAAATGTGTTGCTATGCTGACCAGATCTAGGCTTGGTGACAATCTCAGTGAATGGAGCCAGTACCGGTTTTCCATTTCCCAGATCCTTCAATTTGCGGCCATATACCAGGTCCCCATGGTAGGAGCTGACGTATGCGGTTTTGGAGGTAACACTACCGAAGAACTGTGCGCTAGATGGGCTATGCTAGGTGCCTTTTACCCCTTTTATAGGAATCACAACGATATTGCTGGCCGAGACCAAGAGTTTTACCGTTGGGAATCAGTAGCTGAAGCAGCAAGAACAGCCATTGGGATCAGGTATAAACTTCTTGACTACATCTACACTGGTTTCCATCGTCAAACACAATCTGGAGACCCCATCTTGAAACCCCTTTTCTACATTTACCCTGAGGATAAGGACACCTTTGCCATTGATCTGCAGTTCTTCTATGGAGATGCGTTACTGGTTAGCCCCGTAACTGAGGAAGGTGCCACAAGTGTCAAGATATACCTACCCGATGATATCTTCTATGACTTCTATACAGGAAAGCCACTTGAAGGAAAGGGAGAAGTCATAACAATGGACAATATCCCGGTTACTCACATTCCACTACATTTCCGTGGTGGACAGATCGTCCCAATGCGCGCCAACAGTGCCAATACCACCACCGAGCTACGAAAGCAGCCATTTGACCTTGTTATCTGTCTCGATCGTGAGGGTAATGCAGAAGGTAGTCTCTATCTAGACGACGGCGATTCCCTTGAGCAAGTACATACATCCGAAATCAACTTTAAGTACCATCATGGCGTCCTCAAAATCTCTGGCAAGTTCGACTTCCAGCACGAAGAAGGTTGGGATATCAAAAATATCTTTGTTCTAGGGTACAAGCAGAACATCAACGCGCAGGACAAAGGAAGCAAGAACAAAGACACTCAGTATGATGCGATACTGAACAAGTTAACTGTCAAAACTGAAATTTCACTTATGGGCCCTTCTGAGGTTACTCTTCACTAGACAGTATGAAAGTGAGAGTATCATTATATCGGACATTGAACATATACTTTAGTATACTCAGTCAATACCCTATACCTCCGTTAAGGAGATTTTGATACATGTTCCTACTCCCCTTAATGCTCCTCCTTTCAGTCTAGGGATTTACTACATGGAATATCAAAGCAAAGCACAGCATATAATATCTAAATTCTGGCTCCAAGGATATTGAGACGGGCTTGTTAGCACCTATGTTCATAACCATAGCATTAATCTCACTTATCAGATTTGATAGTAGCCCCTGAACGTCGTCCTGCTGCACTCCTAGCCATGTCCTCGAGGTATTAAAAAGTCTCCAACCTCCTTTTGTTCACTCATAAAACAAACAAAAACCACCTTCCAGTTCAGATTTGAACTTCGACTTCTACCAAATCCAGTCTGCAACCTATCCTCAACGGCTCTTGAACCTTGATCATGGCCCGTAGCAAACGCAGTGGCACTTCTGGAACCCCCAAACGCAAGAAACAGAAAACAAAACATGCACTGAGAACCAAATCAGCTTCGGCTCCGGCTCCATCTACAGCTTCGCGCCAGGAACCCGCTCCTGAAGTTAAGGCCAGAGGACCGTTGACAAAAGAAGCCCTTGAGGCATTGAATAAATTCGTCATGGCTCATCCTAGTACAGAGGCTATGGATGAACGCGAGTCAGGGGTAAAGACGAAGCTTCGCTATGCTCCTGAATACTTCACTTCATGCGGCTTCATTGAACAATGTGAAATGCAACATATTGCTCACCACGGTGGTTTTGATATGTCTGGCTTGAGAATCGTACGTTGATGTTCTGTTTTTCATACGAATAATTGACGCTCCGTAGAAACTAACGTTGTTGGTAGGCTTTGCATGACCAGACCCACGACTATGCTTATATTGAGCATCCCGTGGGAGAAGCCGGCCAGGCAATTGAACCTTTCGAAGACGACGAGGATGATGTCGCTGTCTATGGAGACGAGAAGGATGGGGAAGAAAACGATATCGATGACATCCATGTTGAAGGGGGCGTTGATATCGATGTCAATCTAGCCGGCAACCACGCAGCCCAGCTTGCTGCCAACGAGATCTGGCATGAGCCACGCGACATGGTCTTGGATACCACTGCAGATGGGACTCTTGAGCTTCGCCGCTCTGCTGCTAGACCACCTTCTCCAGGTCCTTCTGACGAGGAAGAAGATCCTACCGCCGGCTTGCCAACGTACTTTTCCGATCCATCTAACTTGGACCTGAACGACAAGGCTCAAGTTCGCATTGCCATTGAGGAGACTGCCATCATCATGAAGGCTCTTTTCGACCGTCTGCAAGTGCTGGAGAACGAGAACAAGAACGAGAATGAAAATGAGAACTAGTTCAAGGAGACAGGTGTCTATCGTGTTGAGTTATGTATGTCCGAATAGGAGATGCTCCCTGACAGAACATGGCGAAATGAAAGAAATGATAAAAAAAAAAGGATGCATAGTGGAAAAGTTTCTCATCCAGGGGTATCAGAAGTTGGGCCATGAGAGCAAAGGGTCAATATTGTGTCTTAAAATGGCTCTTTCGAGCACATCTCTCCTTCGATAATCTGAATGGTGTGATTAATTTTAAAAAACAAGATCAGTATACAAGGCAAGTTCGCTATTCTATGTGCATCCAGAGAAAAGGACACTATCAGCTATTAATTATAATATTCAAAATGAGCTCCGCAGTTATTTGTTGGACATTGGGACATCTGCCGGAAGCTCTTGCGGCGAGTAGTCCCTATCAGGGAGCTCAGAAGGCGCCTGTTGACTGACTCCAGCATCCATCTCCGAGGGGGTATCGTGGGGATGTTTCTTGTCGTCGGCTCGCTGGTTCGTATTAACAAGCGGCAATCCTGCTTTTGAATCTCTATCCTTATTTTGATTGCGCCGTTTGAGGAAGAAGAATAGGCATAAAGCAGCTATGGCTAGGAAGGCAACAACTCCAACGACTATGCCGGCGATGGCACCGCCACTCAGAGAGGAAGCATCGTCATTATCGCAGTTGTCTGAGCCAGATTGAACAGTGACCAAGTCCGTCGCCGTTGTTGCATTGGCCTGCCAAACAGTAAACTCCTTCATGTCGTTGTTAACGTAGATATAGGCGGATGTAAGGAACGGTTGGCCTAGATAAGACATGGCTTCGCTCTTGATCTGGCTAAAGTTGATAGTCTTATTGCCGTCGGCTATTTTCTGGGCCCCGTCATCGCCGATCTCGATGTTTGGTAGGACAAGTTGATGGTTAGGAATGGTGATCTGAAGTCCGGAGGAGAGTGTGAATGTGATATTACCGGCAAACCTGGACACGTTAGTTTCTATACAGTCTTGTACATTTTGAGGGAGGGAGTTGGTACATACACATTCTCTGGCTCATAGGCCAGGCTTGTAGGGTATATTCCTGTTGAATGCTCAACAGTCTTTCCTGGGAAGGCCTTCTTTAAGTTGCCGAAAATGTCCTCCGGAAGAACGACGCTGGGGTTGTCCGGTTTGATGCAGGCGCGCAATGCGGAACCCGGCGAATTGAACAGGCTGGTTTTGTTCCCATTTACATGATTGACCACGATATTGCTCAGATAGACGAGTAACGAACTCGGACACCCAACTCCATCAGAGAATTTAGTCGTTAGAGGTGCGCCTCCTGCCGTCTTCGCCTTGTCGTATCCGCCCAGCACCAAGCTTCCATTCATCTGGTTCTCCTTCTCAACTCCCTGCCAGCCCCAGAATAACGACCATGATCTCGATGCAATTTCCCCGCGATCAAAGAGCCGGTTAAGAAAGGTTGAATTTGGTCCGAGGCCTATGTTATTCTGAGGTATAACTCTTGGTTTTGGAAAGTAGATTGGGAACTGGTCGAGTAATATATCTGATCCCACCCTCAGAGTATCAGTTCCCCTTATATCGATGGTCCCGCCTGCCGGGCTCTTATCCGTCTGATCAGGATCCGCCGGCGCCCTCCATGATGTCGAGCTTGCATCATTGAAAGACCCTCCATGTACCCAAGAGCAGGCGGGCCTGCTCAGATTGCCGCACGGAAAGCTCGTGTTCCAGAAAGATGTACTGTTCCAATCACTACGTAATTATGGTACATTAGCAGTTGTTCAAATGCAGTCTCTGCGATGTCGGATATTCGTCCATATAAAAGTGACTTACCCATCCAGTGCAGCGACCATGGTCTGGGGAGGAGTTCCGAATTCCACTGCCAACCCCCATCGCACAACTTCTCGATCAGAGATCGTGCCATTCCCAATGGGCAGAGTCAACGGTGGTACTGCATCGCAAGCAGATCTGACCAGGCGTGAAAATGAAATTAGGAGGCACGCGCAAGTCAAAAGCAGAGAACAGCTCATCTTGAAGCCGTTACTCCCTCTGATAGCGGTATAAACACAGCCAACAGCCACTCACAGACGACCAGATGCGTTAGATTTTCAATGGAGAACCAGTCCTTCTCGTCGCGGCTGTGTTCCTGGATTGCTTTCTCGAGGGTGAATAAGAGGAAGACCTGAGGCCTCCGTCCGTCCATCCCTTTCGCCCAGCAATGTATCAACTGGTGATCCTTCGAAAGCTAAGCCTGCCATGTTTGGCAGGGATAGACATGAATGTCGTATCGCACGACTCAGCCAGCTTGAAGAATCGCAAACTGGTTCACGCATTATTAGTTACCGTGTATCACAGGTGGTTAACTAAGTAAGCCGCGGCCTTACTGCCATCGCTGATCACGTCCTATATACGCGGTTAGCAAAGAGCCATAAACTCGATAACCATCAAGGCAAGCAAGCCTTACGGAGTACGCCCTACGAGGAAAATAATCTTCACCCAAATTCTCTGCCCTCTGCTTCAGACTTCGATTTCGAGGCCAATTTCCGGTGCTGAGCCGTGATCCCTGCGATGTGGAACAGCGGAGGACTGAGCCTGCTCGCATTTGTCAGGCTGCAAATGATTCATGGATCCCAGCTTGGCGATGGCGCATTTTAAGTGGATTGCGTTACAGCCGCGAGCAAGTAGCGCAAAGGACGTTGATATATCTAGTGGCTAGTCGTGCGCTGTTGTTGTTGACTGTCGCTCATAACTAGAGAGGAAGCGGTTATGTCTTGTTATTCGAGTGTTATTTTTTCAATGTCTACGAACGAGAAACTAACTACATGCAGGTCGAGACAAGGGTTAGTAACGAACTGATGCACAAAGATGACAGGAATACAGTCATCAGTGTTCCGGTCTTTAATCGAATTCCAAGAGTTAGTAACTGCAGTGGCGGAATAATTATACAATGCTATGGCCGAGCCAGTTTGGCTAATGCTTGAGTGTACGGGTATTTGGACGGTTGGCGCGCTGGATAACTAGATAGAGTTATCTATAATGATACGGATGACCTATGAATACTCGAGTCAGGTTAGCATCGATCTATCAAGTCGACTCGGGCTCGTCTCTCATGCAGCTCATATTCAAGATCTCCTCATTAACAGCATACCAGCTGTGGTACAAGAGTAAGAACTGTTGCCGTGTATTATACACTGCAAATCCAATGAAACACTGGGCAATAGGCAGAAACAAAGGGAACAGCAGAAGTCAAGTAAATATCAACTTGGCCATCACAAACTAGCCTTCCCCCTGGACTCAAAGGGCTGGAACATAACCAAGATGCCAGCGGCTATGAACAAGGCACCGCTAACATATACGGGCGCAGCTGTCTGAAGATTAGCAAACATGGCAATAATGGGGGCCATAACGCCGAAAATGCGATTTGCTGCAGCAGTCAAAGCATTGCCCGTTCCTCGGTCCTTGGTAGGGAAGATCTCAGGCGTATAGGCATAAAGAACAGCATACATGATGTTGCTCATGAAGTTGTAGGCACAGTTCTAACCAAGAAGTGCATCAGACGTCCTGGCCGTAGTAGAGCAGAAGAGAAATACGCCTGTCAACGAGGTGGAAAGAGAGAGGGCTCCTTGCGGCCAATATAAGGTATCTCAACGAGGATACCTCCGATGAGAGAGCCTGGTATTCCCAGGGCTGCAATAATAAGCGAGTTCCGGTATGTGATGTAGGTAGAGCTGTCACCAAAATCCGCACCTCGAGAGGCCTGGATAAATGGCAGAAATGCGTTGTACAGAGGAAATCCAAGACCAATGAACGCCCAAACACCGATTATAACTGAGGTTGAAAATGCTAGAAGAGGCGATCCAAATAGTGCTCTCACATGCTCGAAGTCAAATTTCTTCAGGTGCCCGCACTGCAGCTTTGGCATGCTCTTTATAGGGGGCCCAATACGAGCAAGGTCATCGATAGTGAGGGTAGAAACTTTGCCGCCTCGTCTAGCACTTCATGCACGACACGGACTGCTTCTTCATCGAGGCCTTTCCCATCAGATATTCGGGGACTCGAAGATAGTGAAGCAAGTGAAGCGTAAAAAGACATGACAAGTGATACCCTCCCATAGCAATCAGGAAGTACCTCCAACCCATGTTTGCAGACCTAGTGCATTCGGAATGCTCCTGGCAGGAATAATTCCCGAGCAATGGCCATGCAATTAGGTTCGCCAGCACTTGTGCCAGAGCCCAGTCGATAGAAAGGATGGTAAGCAGGTACTGGTGCGTTGACGGCAGAAATTCAAGGAAGATTGCGGAGTCAACGGGTAAGTTGCCTCCTACTCCAATAGACCACAGCGCGGCAAAGGCTCCAATGGCAGCAAAGGACGGCGAGCCTGCTGCAGCCAGCCCAAACACAGCAGTTATTCCAATTGTCAGGTTGAAGGCCCATTTCCTCCCGTACACGTCGCATCCAAATCCCCAGAAGACAGCACCCACCAGTAACCCCAAATTTTGTGCAAGAGTAAGGAGCGGAGCCTTTGATGGCATAAACTCGTTCTTCACAGGGGTAAAGATGAGTGAGGTAATGACTGGCCACATGTTGTCACTAGCCCATCCAAAGCCGATTACAATGAATAGCTGCCATTGATACCACCCCATCCCAATGTCGAGGATGGCCTTGTTCAGCAACAATGCTTTGGCCTCGTACACCGGATCCATGCTGCCCTTAGGGATAGTGGCCAAAAGCTCCTCGTTCGAGGAGACATCCGTCAGTGTATCGTCATAGCGCCCATTCTGCTTCGGGTCATCCCTTGAGTTGCTTGCCGCCATCTTGCAATGTATTGAAAAGAGATAGTCTATAGTGAAAAGAAGAATATAGCAAAATAAGGATTAATTGAAGTGAATGGAATATGTGTAGGGTAAAAAATCACAGCCAGAAGGAAGCCATATATACGAGGAGGCAGAAGTAAACAAGTTATACGTCCCGCGTTCTCTTCGGGGGAGGATAATGGTTCAAACCAGACATGGAGCGGATCCTTCCACTTATTTAGCATATGGAGGGGCACACACTGGCACAACTAAGTGTCAGACCATCTTAGTATAGATTTAGTGCCTCACATGCATTTGCCTGAACGTAGTTCTAGCCAGCCACCCACGGGGGTAGGATAGAGCAGGTACCCTGGAAGCGGAGAACTTCCAGCACTGTCGCCTAAAATCAGCGGGCCCGAACCTCTCAGACAGGCCAGGAACATCTCGCTGGCGGAGCAGCAAAGCAGTGAGGGTGGAGAGTCATCTGGAATAGCCGGGCAGGCAGCTTCTCCCGGTGCTCTTCGAGGAAAACACGAAAAGAAAATAAAGTTCACGATATCAATTAAGGTTAATGACTAATTACGGAAGACGTCATAGCTGAATCTTGGCATGTTTACTTTATTTTTCTCGCTGTTCAATTGGTCAAACTTAAAAGCACGTGAGTAACCAACCAAACATTGCAAAGCCTGCAAACACAGAACGCTTAATAAGCTTCATAATTGCTTCTTTTGGAGTATCAAAATTGTTCTTCTCTAAGCCTTCAGCCGAAACAAACAGATCTCGACAAACACTAACACAACTACAAATCTAGCTCGACGTATCCGGGGCTGGGTGGAAGTTCGCCGGTATCCCAGCTCGTCTTTTCCGGGCCCAATACGAACTCGATGGTCCCACCTCCGTTGATATCGTCATGACTCACCCAGCTCTTCGCCCATGGCTTCCCGTTGACCTTGACACTCTGGACGAAGTAGCTGTCATCGCTGAGGTTTTTCGCAATGATCGTGAGCTTTGAGCCATCACCCACGGACACAGAGACATTACTGAACCATGGACTTGAGAGGAGATAGACTGGCTGAGTTACCACGGGGTAAAGACCCAGCAAGTTCCATACCAGCCAGCTATCAATAGCCCCTGCATCACTATTCCCTGTACGTCATGGTCAGATCGAATCATCAAATATACAGCAACAGGAAATTTACCTGGGAGTCCGGACGGTTGAGTGTTATAATACGAATTAACCGTGTCTCGAAGACGAAGGACAGATTTCCACTGCCGCCCAGGGAGATAGTTGTAAAGAAATGGTGTGAAGAAGCTCGGCTCATTCCCTGGGTTAAACAACGTGGTGCCTATAGAAGAAATAGTATCAGATGCTTGTGCAAGTGGCGAACGAATCAAGAAAGTTGAGAATACCTACCCACTGTGTTTGTTCCCCCAGAACCCACATCACCCATACGCAGGCCTGGAACAAACATTTGGTCGAGCCTTCGCTCCATCGTTTCTCTGCCTCCCATTAATTTGATCAGGGACTTCATATCGAACGGAACGGTCCATCCGTACTCAATTGGTAACGCCTCATAGCTATGGGAGCTCCATTCACACTCTCCGCAGTCGAGAGGGTCGTACCCCGGTGTCACGGAGCCATTTGGCCAAGTCGGTGCTAGAAATCCTGTGTAATTGAGACTGCTAATATCCTTGTGCCAGATTTGTTGCCATCCAGCACTCCGGTTCAGGTATTTATCGTAATCTTCTGGTGCTATACCCTTTGCAACTTGGCTCAGGGCAAAGTCATTTAAAGAGTACTCAACCGTCCGACTAATACATCTTCCAAAGCTGGGAGTCACGTACCCGTACTGAAGCCAATCTGGAAGAGCACCGCGGCCTTCCTTTGTGGAACCAGTTGGATCTGCGGGCCCGAAATTATTGTACGGCACTACTTCGGCATTTGTTTTCATTGCCATATACCCATCCGTCCAGTTGATTCCCTTTTGCAGACCTTTGACATATGCGTCTGCCAGGACATTGTCTGCATTACTACCTCCTTGGACCTATGTCTCAATCGTTAGCACATATAATTTTTGATTGCAGAGATGTGAGCATTTTGAATACCCTTCCGTTTGCATTCCCGCTCCTACCATCGGGCATAAAACGCTCGAATCTCCAGATATCAATTAGGGAACGAATCGTGTCTGCTGCAAGCTGAGGCTTGGTTAACAAGTAAAAACTGTTCAAGCATCGAAACGTATCCCATATGGCATAATAATCGTCATAGTAAGGTTCGTTTGACTCCCAGTATGGGTTTTCTCCCGTCCTGTTACTAGGGAGCAGATGTGAACGATATAGGGCGGAATACAACATCGTCAGTCTTGTTGTATTGGTATCCGGTGTAGTCACTCCGCTCAACACTTCACTATTCCACCGGTCCTTTGCATCGTTAACAGTATCATTGATATTCCAGGAGCGTATCTCATTGATGAAATGACACGCTTTCTCTGTTGAAATAAACGAGATACCAATCCTGGACTTCAGGGTCGTTGTGTCCGGTGGAAATTCAAAGACAGCTCCCACCCTATCTGCGTACTGATACCCGTCTCTTCCTCCAGTGCTTGTTTGCTGGCTTGAAAACTTCACTTCTCCCCTAATCTCACTATATGGGTCGGAATACGGGGCGCGCCATGTTCTAGCGGAGGATGGAGCAATATCAAACTCAGCACACATGAAAACCTGGAAATTTGGCCCTAGCATTTTTGTTAGTTGTGGCGTTTAATAGAGAGCCGAAATACAAATACCTTCATTCCAACCACCTCGATAAATTCCATACCCGGTATACCTCCGCCCGCCATCCTGTATCTCTATTTTCCCATTGCTATACATCTGGTTTGCGCTTGGTTCCTCATGAGTTGGCAGGTAATGACTTAGGTCAACCAAGACAAATTTTCCCGTGGAGGATGGATAGGTGTATTGGAGAATTCCAGCGTGATCAGTAGCAGACATTTCTGCTATGATTCCATTTTGGAACTTAGTTTTGTAATATCCAACAGATGCAGAGTCTTTGCCCACTCGAGGTTGCATATATGTCCTGTTGTCGGCGACATTCACATCTTCAAGGGTTGAAAGAGGCATCTGCGAAATCACTCCATATTTCGGTGCACCTCCTGTACCACTCTCATGCAAAAAAGATATAGCAGAAACATTCCCATCGGGTGAGTATCCTGCATTAACGTCAACCTTTCTCTTCTCGTCCACATCGTGGCTATTGAACAAATAAGTTAGGCACGGGTCAATCAAACTCAAATGGTAGTTATTGAAGATGTTATGGACTTACACTATAGTATCAATTCCCACTTTGACTACTCCGAATGGTAACCTGATGCCTGTTAGATGCTTATATTGCTAATGCCAGTCAGCGGATGAAACATACGCTGCTCCTGGGAATACACTTCCGCCATTGTAGGAAGTACCAGCGACACTACCCTCAGTTCCAATAAATAAATCAACGTATCGCGTCAGGTCAATATTATCGCCCTCAGCATTAGATGTGAGCGACAATACGAACTGAAGCGCCAGGATGCCGGCATATTGATAGCTTGTAAAAAGCATCTGGCGATACTCCTGGGCTAAAACGCTAAATACAAAGGCAACCTTATTAGAGGAAAGAAGAAATGCTACTCCTTAGATGGGTGGGAAGTATTTAACAATATATGTTTATCACCTTCGTGTGACCTTATTCAGTCCATTCCGTGCTTGTACTCCGTATCTTCATCCGTAATCCAGTTGGATGCTTTGAGTGGACATGCATACATCGTGGAGGAAAGGCAACCAATTACAAATATAACTGTGATTAAGAACTGAACCGAGGTGGAGATCATCTTCATCTTGAGTACACTAACACATCCTGGGTTGCACTATGTATGCGGATTTTTGGGTGATCGGCCTCCAGGGTATCTGGGGGCTGCAGCCGTAAAAGAGTTCGTATACAGAGTAGTCAGTACGTACCCCCTGGTTCATAACAACATATGCCAAAGAGTAGGCTGTTGGATCTAGAGGTTGCTTCAATGCAAACCATGTTAGTATTATGAGCGGCTGGATGATGCAAATAGCCCAAAGGTATGAGAGCAGATGAAACGTTTATATCATTAACATGCTTACGCAAAAATCTCTACAAACACATCGCTCTAAGCCCTGTTACGGCGCCAAAGGTAAGGAAAATCAATTTCAGTCATCGTACAAACCCAGTCCCATGACTCGCGACTGTAGATTGGTGCGCAGTATAGCCGTTTTTCCACGCCAGAGTCTCCCCAACGAACAATGATATCAAATCTATTGTTCTTCCCTAAACATTCACTGAGTAGCTTCATCTTTTCAGCGGGGGTGTGCTTTAGATGACTCCGAATATATTCGCCTTCGGCGTGCAGCGAGCGAGACACGTGGGATATTTTATAGAGCGTGCTGTCTTGGAGTGAACGTGCTAAAATAAACGTATCCTTGTAAATATATAGCAGCTCAGCACTAAATTCTGAAAGCAGCTGCTCGGTCGTATGAGAAGGGCCGGTGCTCATTGGAGTTTGGCTCCGATGTACGCCCGCCCCTTTGCTCTCATCCGGAAATGGATGCTTTGGTGAATCTGCGGCACTGAGATTGACTCGTGAATTAAGGCTGGGCGATATGCAACAGTCGGTACCGCATGTCTTTGGGTTCTTCCTTAACTCCAGGTCTTCAAGTGTGGCAGCGTATAGAAAATCGGTGATATCAAGAAGAGTGGCGAGGAGTAAACGGCATTCCCCTGAAGCCGCAGTAATCAGTCTTGTGGCGATTATAAGGTACGAGACATCATTCCCATTTTCGTCGAATCCCGAAACTACAGGACACGATTCTTCTTCGAGAACATTCACATTAAGCGGGAACTGCTCTCCCCTTCCACCCGCAGAGCATATATCCTTGGAAGCCGCAACAACTGCATTCCCTGGTGACTTCGTGTCCAGTACGCAAAAGGAGTTGAAGTGATCTAGGAGTTGCACCAGCTCCACAGCTCGTGGAGAAGCACTCCTTGAGATAATGGAACACACTGGGGAACGCGGTGGTGCAGGGCTGAGTCGCAAATTGAGAGATGAAGCCATAGTGAAAGAATACTGTGACCTGAGATTGGAGATGCAGCTTTTCTTCCGGACAGAGGAGGCGGGGATACTAGTATCGCTAGACCGTAGCGTAGAAGTCGATGCTGAAGGAGAAATTGAAGAATCAAGACTCGTTCGAACAGCCGCTGGCTGACTGTAAGGATACTTCTTATCACTTTGGTGTTCAAAGGTGGGTGAACTTTCCAACAGTGGCGAGTAGATTAACCGCCAACCACAGTCTCCGTTTCCTTCTAGTGGGCTATTGGGATGTAGAGCACATTTTAACCAAACACCGTCGGATAACAGTTGTAAATCGGTCCAGGAGTCTCTGCACCGGGGGGTATCGAAACTGTCGTTAGCTATATGTATCCCTGTAGTAGCTGTACCCTCCAAATCATCCTGGTCAGTTGATGGTGTGGAAGCATCCATCTCCATGATGGTTGGGAATGTTGCAGGGCCCCTTTGCTTTCGGCTTGCAGGGTGGTGCAGCCGGCCCCGGGCGAGTGGTAATGGACATGCTTGCTGGGGCCCCGCTCTTGTATTCATGTAGGGTTTCATGTATACAAAACATTAAAACTTAACAATAAGCATACAACTTGCAGCATGAGAAAGTATCCTTGCTGGAAGTCGTCCATGGGAAGTTTCCTTCCTTCATATTATGAGATTGCATGGTGCCCCAGACTGCAGCATGGCGAGGGTATATTTGTAGGCAGCATGAACAAGAAGTCACAGCACTGCTTCTTGCGTCCTGATCAGGCCTTGCCATCGGTTTATCTTGGTGAGCATCATCATCTTGCCGTAGTCAAAGCAAATGCACAGCACATGTGATATATCTGTACACGTGAAGTCGCCCTCGCATGCTACGAGCCACGAGGCAGCCTGCTGGGCCAGCCCGTATCCATCAGAGCCACCCCCATCAGCGTCAATGACCCCAGAGGTAGAGTGTGGATGAGGCGAGACTGAACGCTGAGGTTGGATTTCGAGCTGATGTTGATATCGAAGTTGAAAAATGACAATCACGTGATTTCCCCTTTGGGACCGGAAAAACACGAAACTTGAGGACGCAGAAAAAAGCGACTTCGACGACTTCACCATCGCCGACGCATCCAGCATCCGCCATTGACAGCTCCCGCGCACTCGAAGGGTTCCTCTTTACTTATCCGGCATTAGTTTCGACGATTCTGCAGACCCTGCGCCGCTCCCCTTCCACCATGTCCGCCACAATGTCCCGTATGTTGATCCGGCAATCACGAACAGTGATCCGACGACCAGCGATTAGACACTCGTCCACCGCACAAGAGACTGCCGCAAAGGCCAAAGATGCCGCCGCAACAACCGCTTCAAAGGCCTCCGAGGGGCTTACAAAAGTGACCGCTGCTGCTGGACCAGCCCTTGCCGGCGCTATGTCCGGTGTCGGTGGCGCTTTGAAGAAGGTTGGAGGACGAACTGCCAAACTCGTCGCTTTCGTCGAATGTAAGAAGAATATCCATCCAGCGGCCACCTAGAGCAATGGATACGGCTCGATGGACGAAAAATATTGTCTGTTGTGCCATTTATATGGGGAGAATGCTGACAGCGGTTGCTTTCGCAGCTTTAATACCACCAACCATCTACTACTCCAGAGTTGGCCTTGAGCTGTCGAAAATCGTCTTCCGCGGACAGAAGATGGCACCACCGTAAGTCAATTACACGGTTCATCATAGTTAGAAGCACAAAATTTAACTATCGGACAACAGAGACATGGCCACTTTCCAATCGTACCTTTACTCTGCCTTGAACTCCCTCCGCCAGCCATCCACGATCTTCGCCGCACTAAGAAACCCCAACGGCAGCATTTCCCGGCTCAGAAACTTTGACGCCAAACAATGGGCCGTTGTTGGAATCACCACCGCGGAAGTCATTGGATTCTTCTCCGTCGGAGAGATGCTTGGTCGATTCAAGGTGGTAGGCTATAGAGGAGAGGTCGCCCATGAACACTAGTTTTTCCGATAACCCTAGACCGTTCAGACCTAACCCTCTATAAAAAAAGGAAAGAGAAACAACCAGCATTAAATATCCATTCACATTCTCTATCCGCGGTTTTTCTTGTATCTTGCTGTATGATAGACATAAATTAAACGTTTGTTGAAACCGCCCTGTCTGCGAGTTATTAATTTTGCTTAGAATAAATATCATTCTGTCTTCACTGGTGGACTATGCTATGATACCATAATGCAACTCTTCTACCAATCGATAGTACAAACGACCTTACCCTTGGTCTTGTTACCCTCGACCAGCTCGTGTGCTTTCTGGATATCCTCCCATTTGAACACCGAGTCAACGACATGTTTAAACAATCCAGTCTTTAGGCCGCGAAAGACTTTCTCCTCGAACAGTTCACGCAACCTGGCTTGGTAGTTTACATCCCTTGACCGCAATGTACTCCCTTCAAACTTCAATCTTTTCATCAGGACTGGACGGATGTCAACCTGGTCTGGCAAAATAGACCCAGATAGTAGACCTAGCAAGACAATTCGGCCGTCTCTTGCAGCCACATTCAGGTTCTGTTGGAAGTAGGTTGGCCCAACATAGTCAATAATCAGGTCAACTCCCTGCCCACCATTCAGCCTCTTGATCTCTTCATCCCAGTCTTTGCTGTGCGTGTTGGTATTGACTGCACCTGAACAAGATAGTTCCCCCACGCAAAAATTGGATTTCTCATCACTGCGGGCTGTAGCAAACACTTTGGGAGCTGGGATATCTGACCGTAGGGAGTTGGCAAGTCTGGACAGTTGGATGCCTGCTATAGAAACCGAAGATGCCCCGGCATGCCAGAGAACTGACCGTGTGGTATCAGCGTTATAGCCTCCAACCACGTACAATGCTTGCAGAGCAGTGAACCAAATCTACATACCGTCAGTCCAGATCCTACATAATATAGAAGGGAAACAAAAGATCCTACCTCGCATACGCCAGCAGCATACTCCCAGCTCCAGTCTGCTGGCTTAGCTATCAACAGCTTCATCTCCACCTCAACATACTCCGCATACGCTCCTCCGTACACCAGCCCAAACACCTCGTCTCCAGTCTTCCATTGTGTCCCAGTCGACGCTTGATCACTACCAACAGCTTCAATGACCCCGCTGAACTCCAAGCCGAGGATCTTGGACGCTCCAGGGGGAGGCGGATAGAAGCCACTTCGCTGTACGGTATCAGCACGGTTTATGCCGAACGCCTTCACCCGAACAAGGCACTGGGTCGGAGATGGGATCGGGTTGGGGATAGAGTCGTTGATGAAGAGATCGGCCGCTGTTCCGGCGCCGTTCTTGATGTCTAGTAAAGTGCGCGTTAGACAGATAGTCACCAACTTCGAGGCCAACGTCATTTGAGCCGCGTTCACTCACCAACCGCCTTCATGTTTAGCTACCCGTCACTAGATACAAAGTCGAACTCACAAAACCAGCAGACAATGAGGTATTATGGATAAATTTATAACAGCTGCCCCAAGGATAACCGGCAGATTATGGCAAGGGCAGCTTCATTTCTGGAAGATTTCAACTGTAGGTATTCTGGTAGGAGAAGTTGGATCTCTCTCCGCATTATTAACTAATCCGCTGGTTAGGTATCAACACCTACATCTATACCTACGTCTACATCTAGATCGGCCAGGTGGCGACGACCAGCTCATGAATACACGAATACAGGCACAGGCTGCTGGAGGGGCCTGCAAGATGCCTGCACAAGCAAGCCCTGCCCTAGGCGCACTAGCCGCCAACACGGGTTGCAGATGGCGCATACATGGAGCGGGGTGAGGGATCTCCCACCTTGCCTGTCGATTGTAAATACAACATCAAGAGAGACAACGAAGACGAAGACGACGACGAAGGAATAAACAATTCAATATGTCTGAGGAATACGACACCTTTGGGCTGGGAGACTGGACGCTGCAGAGCGGAGATGTCATCCCAAAGGCCCGCATCGCATACAGGACGTTTGGTGACCCCAAGTTGCCCGCTATCGTGTACCCGTCATGGTACTCAGGCAGTGAGTGCGATTCATTCTCAATCTGAGTAGAAATAGAAGAAGAAGATGCTGATGCAAATGGTCATGAGTATAGCAATATCTGCCAACTTCTGGCTGATAGGAGAAGACATGGAGCTGAACCCGAAGAAATACTTCATCATCATACCCGCTCTGTTTGGCAATGGACAGTCTTCTTCCCCTTCGAACACTGACCTTTCCCCTTTCCCGGCTGTGTCTGTCTACGATAACGTCAGGGCTCAGTATAAACTGGTGACAGAGCACCTCGGGGTCAAGCATCTCCGAGCTGTCCTTGGCTGGTCTATGGGAGCAGGTCAGACTTTCCAATGGGCAGTTCAGTACCCTGATTTCATGGACATCGCCGTCCCATTCTGCGGATCTGCGAAGACTTCTCTGCACAACAAAGTGTTCCTCGAGGGCGTCAAAAGTGCCTTGCTGTCTGCCAAGCGTTTCCGTTCTGCTGGGTCTGGAAAGGATGGCATCTGCTCCGAAGGGGTTGTTGCTCGAAAGTGGACAGAGGAAGAAAGAGACATCGGGCTGAGAGCTGTAGGGAGAGTGTACGCTGGATGGTATGGGGTTTTTTTTTTTTCGTTTTGCCATATCTATGATGACGTTCAGTGAGCACTAACTAGTGTGCGTGATTAGGGGTATGAGCCAGTCCTTCTATCGTGAGAAACTCTACGAGACGGTTCTTGGGTATAAGGACCTAGAGGATTTCCTAGTCAATTTCTGGGAGAAGTATTTCCTCTCCAAGGGTATGGCTAAGTCAGACTGAAAATGCCATGGTCTGGGGCTGACTGTTTATGTATAGATCCCGAAAATCTGCTTGTAATGCTGCGGACATGGCAGAATGCAGACGTCTCCCAGCAGGAACCGTACCATGGCAATTTTGAGAAAGCACTCGGGGGAATCAAAGCAAAAACGCTAGTGCTTCCTTGCAAGCATGACTTATACTTCCCGTATGTTCATCATGATGCTATAATAAACTGAACTGCTTCCTGACTAAAGTTGGACAGACCGGAAGACTCAGAGTATGAAGTTGCAAATATGGCGCCCGGCGTGGGTGAGCTGGGTGTATTCCCATCCATCTGGGGACGTAAGTGTACAACCCATCTCGATTCGCGCTGTTCACCGCTAACTTGAGGGCTCGAACTAGACTGGGCTGGTGGCCCTGGCGAGAGCAAGGAGGACGTCAAATGGCTCAACAACAAGCTGGTCGAATTATTCAAAAAGGTCCCTGTCCGTGACTCCTGAAGAAGGTCTGTGAAACAGCTGTCTTTTTCCATATGACAACTGCAGCCGTGTCTGTGTTGCAATGAGCCGCCTAATTTATTAATTAGTTAGATGTTAGGTAACACCATCAACCCTTAACGACAGATTTCCGTCCCCTGTGTAATCTTGTATCCCCCTTTTCTCATCGATACAGCTGTACACCGTAATAATGAATGTTTTAATCTCTGGCTTGGTCGAAATATAAAACCGTCACGTGATTTAGCCGCCCAAATCGCCATTTCTTTCTTCCCAGCCAGAAGAAGAACGAAAAAGCCTCCAACATCCAAGTTTCTTTTCTACTGACTGACTCCAGGCTGGTCGCTATTCACTTCTCTTCTACGCAATCCGGGCATTCTAGGGGCGTTTGTATTATTCTTCTTTTAATATCTTTTCTTTTGTGGGGTTTCTTCCTTTGCTTCTCCATCTACTCCGTCCCAGCAAGCTGCGTTAACCACTTCGCCCTATCTAGCCGCGACAGTCAGGCCACCACCAATTCCAACACCTCGTCGGGGAGAATACAGTTCGTTCTTGAGAACTTCCGTAGCCTCGAGCGGTTGCAGCTATGGCTACCTCACAGTCTCGTCAGTGGGGTATCACGCCTCCACTGTCATCCGCGCTTCCTACACCCGCAGAGCTCACAGAGAATGATGCGTTGATAGCAGAGCTCAAACTACAGAATAACTTCGAGACGCCATCAGAGACCGAGAAGCGGTTTGTTTGACATTTCAAAAAAAAAAAAAAAAAAAATTCTCTTAACTTGATTAAATGATACTAACTCTTCCCTGTCTGCGTTTAGGAAGCAAACACTACATCTTCTACAGCGAGTGACCATCGAGTTTATTAAGGTAGTGTCAAAGGAAAAGGGCCTCTCGCAGGCGGCAATCGATGCCTCTGGTGGTAAAATATTCACATATGGGAGTTATAGGCTTGGTGTATATGGTCCAGGTTGGTCATCTCCTTCATTCTTGAAGTTACGGTTACTATGAAACGAGGATATCATACTAATCCTTTGCTGCTTAAACAAAAGGTTCTGATATTGATACTCTTGTTGTTGCGCCGAAACACGTAATGAGAGAAGATTTCTTTGCACACTTTCCAACAGTGCTTGAGAAATTTGCGCCAAAAGATGCGATAGAGAAAATGACCCCCGTGCCAGACGCGTTTGTGCCTATTATTAAGATCGAAATTTCCGGCATTAGCATAGATTTGATTTTCGCACGACTTATTGTTTCTTCAGTTCCACCGAACCTCGATTTAAAAAACAAGGACTTGTTGCGCGGCCTTGATGAGAGGGAGATACGATGCGTCAACGGTACTCGAGTAACGGATGAGATCTTAGAGCTCGTTCCTCAACAAAAGACGTTCCGGCTTGCACTTCGTGCTATAAAACTTTGGGCGCAACGTGAGTTTGGCGTTGAACCCTAACTGTGGCCCGGCTAACGTTGAGCATGATTAGGTCGAGCTATATACTCGAACATCGTTGGCTTCCCTGGTGGCGTTGCCTGGGCCATGTTGGTCGCAAGAGTGTGTCAGCTATATCCCCAAGCTACCGGCTCAGTCATTGTTGGCAAATTTTTCAGAATCATGAACCAGTGGAGTTGGCCGCAACCGGTGCTGTTGAAGCATATCGAAGATGGCCCGCTTCATATGAAAGTGTGGAATCCAAAGGTTAGTTGGCCCTGATTGTGCCCCTTAATGCATAAGGCCCCTCTAACTTCAGTCCTCAGATATACCATGGCGATAGGTTTCACCTCATGCCCATAATTACCCCAGCATATCCATCCATGTGTGCTACGCATAATGTTTCAATGTCCACCAAGTCTGTCATCCTTAGAGAGCTCAGACGCGGAGGAGACATGGTTGACAAAATCTTCGTCGGACAGCGGCGATGGAGTGATCTTTTTGCTCGGCACAGCTTTTTTTCTGCTGACTACAAGTACTATCTCAGCATCAACTCTACTAGCACAACCAAGGAAGCACAAGCTATATGGTCAGGCTTAGTTGAATCAAAACTTAGGCATCTTGTTGGGGGCGCTTGATCGCAAAGCGTCTATAGAGATTGCCCATCCATTCCCCAAGGGGTTTGAGAGGGTCCATATCTGTAAGACTGACGCAGAGATTGATGCGGTGAAGGCTGGCTCTATGAAATACCAAGCAGATGATACCAAAACTGCTACCACTGATGAGACGAATGATCCGACTCACGTCGCGGCCGCTGAGAACGCTAATGAGAACGTGGCGATTGCAGAAGCGGAAAAGCCAGCGGAAGAGAACAAGTACACTGTTTATACCACCACTTACTATATCGGACTAGAGCTCAAACCTTTGGCACCGGGTAAGTAAACCGCATCCATTCGTGTGATACCACTGACTCCTCGAAGGTGCTTCAAGATCCCTAGACATATCCAGCGACACCCATATGTTCAAGAATACCTGTACTTCCTGGGCCCAGTACCAGCCTGGAGTCAATGACCTGAATATCTCCCATGTCCGCAAGTACGTTGTATCCCTGATTCGCTTCAAATAACGCCAGAAAGTTAATATTGCAATAGCTACGATCTCCCTGATGACGTTTTCCAGCCCGGCGAAGTTCGTCCAACACGACCGAAGAAGAAGGTTGTTAAGAAAGCGGAACAATCAGTTTCCCAGAAGCGAACTATCGATGCAGTAGACGTAAGTTGACACCTCAGAATTGCATCACTAACAGACAGTGTTTACGAGACAACCCCATCGAAAACAGTTATAGATAGGGGAGGAATTCCGCGAATCGAAATGCAATCGGGGAACTAACCACCTACTTTTTTCCTTCCAGGGCCAAGAACTACCCGAATCAGCATCGAAACGCCATGTCTCACAGAACGGAATGGTGACCCAGGCTACAATTGCTTAAACATCGCAACTACGCACGTTCAGGAGATGCCCCGCCCATCATGCAAGGCAATCGGCCCACTTGTTTACTCAAGGCTACAGCTGGCTGACTCTTACTCGAAGCCTGGCGTCCATCAACTTTTTTGTTGGTAAACCGACTTGCCGGTACAAGAAAACAAGAAAAGGAAAAAACAAGTTCTAACCATTGAAACCTCCTATCCATAACCAACTGACTGATTTAACAAAAGACAGGGGAAGACGGGTGCAAACCTCTTGGTAAGATCCAGATACAGGTGCGCCTTTCCTACTACGAACTACCCAACCTACCTGCGTCCGGGGTGGTGGTATTTACGCTCTTTGGAAGAAGTGTTCTATTTGTGAGAAGGACAATTACTCGTTTGTCGCGCCACATGTCGACGTAGCCACTACGGCTTTCATTCACAGGGGATTTTTTTTAACATTGTTCTAAGGTACAGCTTCTTGTGTGGCTGTAAAGCAGCATACTTGAACAAACCATGGACTAGCCAGATGAACACTTGGCCGTAGCATTTCATAGCTCTGATAGACAATCAATGATATTTAATATGGGGTCACGGACCCTTTGTACATTGTTGTTCGTGTCTTTTAAAGCTGTCTACCTTGGTACTATTAAATACAGGGCTAACTCATGCCCCTACATTAGTGCTTTTGATAGGACAAAGCTTGGATTCCCCAGTCCTTGGAACGTCATATTTAACGTCATCGGGCGGCCGCGCCCTTCCTTGGCCTGGTCCTTGAAAATCAACCTTGGTAAACGATGCTCGAAGAATACACCAATTCATCCCTCTTTCTATAAGTACCTCTTGAAAGGCACAGGCGGAGGTTTTCTCCATAACCACAGGCCACAGACTCGAACAGTGAAGTACAAATCAAAATGGCAGAGAGCAAAGCAGCACAGGAAGGGAAGAAACCCCAGCTGGTTGTAGTATCCAACCGTCTCCCACTATCCCTAAAACGAACTGATACGGGAAAATACGAATCCTCAAAATCCAGCGGCGGACTGGTCACGAGTCTGAGTGGTATATCGGAATCGATTGGGTTTCAATGGTTTGGTTGGACCGGGTTGGAAGTACCTGAAGATGAGCAGGAGGATGTTCGAAAGCTGTTAGCGGAGCAGAACGCTGTTCCCGTCTTCCTAGACGAGGAGCTTGCTAATAACCATTATAATGGGTTTTCAAGTGAGTATCCTACGTTGGCAATATACCTGTCTGTTGCCGTGGTCTAAAGTGGCCTCAAGATTGCCTATCATTATTAGCAGTACTGATAGATATTCTAACTTAGACTCCATTTTGTGGCCTGTCTTACATTACCAACCTGGAGTTCAGCATTTTGATGAAAAGTGGTGGCGTGCATATCAGGAGGTCAATCAGAGATTCGCGAAAGTAGTCGCAGAGGCAACCTCGGATGGGGATCTGGTCTGGGTGCATGACTATCATCTGATGCTTCTGCCTGGCATTCTGCGAAAAGAATTTGCCAAACAGGGCAAAAATTCGGTAAAGATTGGCTTCTCTCTGCATACTCCGTTCCCTGCCGCAGAAGTATATCGGGCTCTTCCAACGAACCAAGAAATACTGGAGGGGGTTGTGAACAGTGACTTGATTGGATTTCACACCAATGATTATGCCGGACACTTTGCGGATGCCTGTTCTCAGATATTGTACGCTTTCCCCTCGTTCAGTCAAGTGTACATTTTGCTAACTCTTGCTTCACTCATTGTAGAGGTGCGTCCAAAGACGGGCTAACACTCTGTTATAAAGATCGAACCATCCGGATTGGAAAATTCATCGTCGGCATAGATCCAACGTGCTTCTTAGAGGCAGTGAAGTCAGAGCCCGTCCAGAAAAGGATCGCTGAACTTGAAAATAAATACAAGGGCATAAAAAGGATCGTCGGTGTCGACAGGCTGGATTACATCAAAGGATTGCCCGAGAAGTTGTATGGTTTCCAGGAATTCCTCCGCACGCATCCGGAATGGGTTGGAAAAATTGTTTTGATCCAGATTGCGGTACCCAGCCGTGAAGATGTTCCGGAATACCAAGAACTAGAGGCTGAGCTATACCGGTTGGTGGGTATGATCAACGGCGAATTTGGTATGATTTGCCTAGCGATGTCCTATCAAGGACACATCTTAGTTTTAGCCAACACAAACTAACGTTAATAAATAGGTAAACCTGACTATGCACCAGTCATGTTTATCCACCAGTCGATCCCTTTCGAAGAGCTGGCTGCCCTATATGCAGCATCCGACATATGTCTGCTATCATCCACAAGAGATGGCATGAATCTCGTGGCTCTTGAGTACATTGCCTGCCAGCAAGAAAGAAACGGTGTACTCGCCGTCTCCGAGTTCGCAGGAGTATCATCCTATTTGGAAGGTGGAATCAAATTCAACCCGTTCAACTCTAGTGAGATTGCTAGAGTGATCCATGAGGCCGCAGAAATGGACACAGAACAGAGGAAAAGAGAGCATACGCAGCTCCTTGACTTTATTCAGTCTCATACCAGGTGAGTTACAGACACAAATTCCTCTCACAGTCGTTCAGAGTTCACATTCTGACTGGGTATCATTCTAGCACCCATTGGGGCCAGGGATTCGTTGAGAAACTTGCAGCTGCTTAGGCTCCTAGTATGCATAGATTGTGTGTAGTTATACAGCCAGCATATTCTTTTATAGCGCCAACAATAATACTTTAGCCATCTCTCGAATATTCTTATGCATCGAGCTTGAAATTTGAATGGAAGCAGCAAAAAAAAAGGATGAAAGTTTAAATATTGCACGTGACAGCCTCTGTCTTTATCAGCAGAAACTAACCTTTTTTGTCGTACATCTTGGCACAGATATGCCTCGGCATTTCGTCGGCATCTCGACCTAAAACTACCGCCGCGACTTTAGGAACGCAAACGACGCGAGCCGTTTGGCCGCGTTTTAAGCGGGACGCCCGCCCATATCCAGGCACAATGTTATAAAAGGCCAGCAATATAACAGTCGCCGTTAGTACTTCGCTTGTCTAAAAAAAATATCTTACTCACTACGAACTCTGCATCCAGGCCGAGATATACCCTCAGTGAGTTTACTATACCTGCCGATTATTGAGCAGCGAAACCCCCTTTAATATATACAAGTGTTGCAATTGAGCAATATGGCCGCCGAAGCACAAGTGAAACTAAAGGATTTCGGGAGTATCTTCTCTCTTGAAGGGAAAGTTGCCGTTGTTACTGGCGGTTCAAGAGGACTCGGTCTCCATGCTGCTAGCGGGTGAGTATAGTGATCGGAGGAATACTGCTACTCTTTGTCTCCTTGCTAACATGATGCGTTTTGCTAGCCTTCTCCAAGCTGGCTGCTCAAAGGTTTACATCACTTCCAGAAAAGCGAAAGCCTGTCACGAAGCCGTCGCCGCCCTAAATGCTTTGCCTAACAAACGGTCAGGTGCTCAGGCATTCTCCGTGCCGGCAGATAGCTCCAAGATGTCTGAAATTGAACGGCTTGTGGCAGAGGTCAGCAAGACAACAGACCATGTGGATATCCTCTTTGCCAATGCGGGAGCCACCTGGGGTGAGAAGTTCGACACTCACCCTGAACACGCCTTCCAGAAGGTGATGGACCTGAACGTTAAGAGTGTCTTTTACACGGTGCAAAAGTACGTTTGTATACTTGAGATGAGGTAGAAAGTAATAAGAAACAGAAAGCTAACTTTGCGACAACAGGTTTGCACCACTACTTGAAAAATCAGCTTCCGTCGAATCTACTTCTCGTGTGATAATCACCGCATCCGTTGCTGGGATTGGCATAGGCACTATGGGCGACAATGCCACCTTCAGTTATTCGACATCCAAAGCTGCGGCCATACACCTGGCAAAGAATCTTGCTGTCGCTCTTGGACCAAGGCATATCCTTACTAACGCTATCGCGCCGGGTTTTTACCCATCTAAGATGGCAAATGGACTCATAGAGAAGCAGGGAGGTGTCGAGTCAATGGCTGCAAGTACGCCTAATGGCAAATTGGGAGAACCTGAGGACATTGCAGCACTCGTTGTATTCCTGGCTGGTAGAGGTGCGAGCCATATCAACGGTGCAGTTATCACCACAGATGGCGGATCTGTGCTCAAGGGAAGGATGTGAATACCCTTTCTACATCTATAGAGATATTTTAAGTTTGATATAATATAGATGAATGTCAACTAGCATCAAAATACTAATTACTTTAATTGTGTTGTGCTCAGCAAATGGTTCGAAATGACTTCATGAAAATAACGTCTCCGGGGTTATAATTGTGAAGCAACACGCTTTCTGTTCTTCAACGCTTTGTCTATGGTGTCCATTGCATAGTAGAGATCATAATCATGTAATCTCGGAGTGAGAACTTGGATCGAAAGGGGAGAATCAAGGTAGACCCGGCGATTAACAGTGGATGAATTCCCTAAACATGGAGTTAGAAATCTGTTCACACACAAGCGAGAGGTATACGTACATAATTCTCTGTTTCTCTTATCCCAGCTAGACAGGATCTTAGAATCCATCTCCTTGCCAATTTCCAGGTCCTGCTCGGTGAATTTGCGAACTGGAAGATTGCCAGCAGGATAATCAACTAGGACAAAAGATGAAGTATATCCGACCGCATTATAGCGGTCAATTTCTGGTACGGGGTGGGGAGCAACAGGGTGGATTATAGCATCAACACGACGAGTTTTGTCAGTTCCTGGACAAGTCCACATCTTCATAAGCTGTCTTTCGATATGGGAGCGTTTTGCTTGGATTTTAGAAAGCTCGTCAATAGACTTTGGAGTTCCTCGTTTGACTCGGCTCTTTAGCCATGGAATGAGCTCTTCTGAGGCGCTTTCTAACAGGTCCATCATATGCTGACCACCATCGACACCCATCAGCGCGTTTGTTACAGCTTGGCATTCCCCTAATTCGGGGAGAATTGGTATTTCAACAACTTCTATCCCGTTAGTGTTGCAAAGAGTTTCAGCAACCTCTTCTAACACCTTTGCGATAGGAGGTAAAGGAGGAATTCGGCCATCGGATCGTAGTATTCCAACAGTAAGCTTGGATGGCTTTTCCGGGGTTTCTGATACCCACTGACCCGGAATACAGTCTTCGCCCCAAAAGGCTGATCGAGGGACTATTTCTTTCATCAAGACATTGATGTCATCCATAGATCTGGCCAGTGGCCCTGCAACCGCCTGGATGCTTGTCCTACTATGGCCAGGGACAGAACAAGATTCCTGTCCACCGTACGGGACACGGCCAACGCTGGGTTTGAAGCCATAGAGGCCCTCACACATAGCAGGGATACGGATGCTGCCACCAATGTCGGTTCCAATGCCAATCATAGAGCCTCGCAGCAAGACCATGACAGCCTCTCCACCAGAGCTACCTCCAGCAGTCAGCTTCCGATTCAGTGGATTCAGAGTTCGACCGAAGAGGTTATTGACGCTATCTAAGGCGCCTAGAGTCTGGGGAACATTTGTCTTCCCCACGATGACTGCTCCAAGAGAGTAAAGAAGGTCCACCAAAGGAGCATTCTGCTTTGCTGGTTTGAATCCAAGGGCTGCTAGTCCGGTAGTAGAGTCGACACCTTCAATATCAAAAGTATCTTTGACGGATATTGGTAAACCGTGCAGAGGGCCATATGTCGTTCCCGTGCGCTTGAAATGATCGTCTAGCTTCTCTGCACGCTTCATGGCGTCATCAAACAGTGGCTCTGTAAGGCACCGAGTAAGCTGGTGTGCAATTGCAGCACGCTTATCCTCATGTTAGCTTCTATAAATATAGTATGTAAATGATTTAAGGACATACTTTACAAAATGCTTGACAAACATCCTTACAGGACAGCTTCCCGTTTGCTATCTCTATAAGTATCCCCTTAGCGTCCCATGCCTCGGTGATTTCGAGTTCTCTGGCTGTGAGCAAACCACACTGCCTTGGGATATCAGTAATGTCTGACTGGTCATAGGAACGAGTGTTTGTGATTGATTCATCGACTGAAAGAATACCAGCAGGTATCCACTGGGCAGGGAGACGCCAGCCTTGCGGTATCTTCGACTGGAGCTGTGCCTGCTTCCGGCGAGCGATCTCTTTATACTCGGGTTCAGGCATATCGACTACACTCTGGGGATATTTCTCGTATCTTTTACCCGTACTTCTATTCTTTCGTTTTTTCCCCTTTTGATGGCTTCTATGTTATAGTTGTTAAGTCATGGACTTTGGGTTTGTTGTTTCTTGAGACTCCTGAAAAGCGGGTAAGGAGTGAATAAGCTTTAAGGTATTACCGAGGAGCGCCGAGGCACCAACTTTTTGTAAGGCCCTGATGTAGAGCCAACTTTCGACGGCATAACACTGAGCAGTCTGTTAACTACCAACTACCTACAGCAGAGGATATTTTCCCTATTATTTTAACAGGCCGAGGATAGTATTGGTTCGCCTTCACAGACCTGTTTTCTAGGAACGTAACTAAGCTAGCTAATTAAATGAATACTGTTCGCCTTGTAACCAAGCAACAAGCTGTCTGTTTCATGGAGGCGGACGCTCCCTCCTATCCAGCGTATATGCTCTCTACACTCGCGCTTCTCATTCAAATTGTGCCTTTTAATAGCAAACTTGGAGCCCGATCGAGCCAGAGATAAAAGGGCAGCTCCACAACAGGAAGTGTTAATCTATCTTTAGACTGCTGGTAAATGTTTATCCGCTAGGCTGGGCGCGAGTCTTGGCGTAGATCGGTGCATTATGAGGCCGGCGTTCCTTCTAATATCCTCGCATCCAGGAAGAAGCCCTGATTTCATTCGATTCATAAACTTAGTAGGGAAAGCTGGTGCCAAGCAAGCAGGGACGACACCCATGATACGGCTATTGACTGGCTGCTTGGGAGCTTCGCCAACGTTTTGAACGAAGTGGAGAAATAACGTCAGTTAACGAACTTGCATCGAGGATATGGAGTATACGCATGGAGTACAGAGTACTTGGAACGAGATCTCAAGCACTTGCTCTGATCTACAGTTGCCCAGCTATGAAGACGGCTGTCCTGCTCTGCTCTTCCATCTCTCGTACGATACTGGTACCACCCCCCTTTCCGTCCTTCTCTCGATATAAATATCAAACACCACAACTACTGCCGTAAAATCTCCGTCCAACAGGCGACTTTTCCTTACGTAACGCGTAAACCTCAATCTCTTATCAAAGTTCGCAAGGTTAAGCTTATCACTTATCAATCAGCCATCAGCAAGCCGAGACCCGCGCTAAGCCCGATCAGGCATTATCAGATGCAGTCAGCTCCAAAATCCCTGCCGCAATTTTCTTTTTCTCCTTCTCTTTTGTGCAAAGTAAGAAAAAGACAGACATAGCCACAGCTCGGACAGCTCCATCAGGGCTTTAAAAGGATCTCGTTTTTCTTTCTCCGACCGTCACATTTCCCCAACGGATGCTCCGGATACAGGCTCCCTGGCGTTTCCCTCACCGCATGCAGACATACGTACCCCCCACACCACACACCATCCACGACAGTTGAAGGGACAGATAACAAGGCGCACTGCGCGGATCCTGACTCGCAAACACAGAGAACCATTGGACCTGTCACGTCACTCGAGATAACCAGCACTCGCATCAGTTTCAATCACGCCTGGTCTAGCTTGCACAACAATAAAAAGCAAACAAACGATGGCGGACGGCACTCGGTCTCCTCCTCACCCATTAACTCCGAGCCTCTATTCTCTCCATGGCCGATCCGAGACTTATCACCATCATCTCCCCAGAACTCCGCCGTCAGGTATGAGCACTGGCATTGAGCATATCGAGATAGCCGAACAGCCACCGCCGGTGCCGCATATCCCTTATGTGATGGAAGGGTCCGACGAGGAAGGTCAACGCCCGCCTCGCTACACGCGTGAAAATGACCCCTTTCAGCTCTCATCGAAGATAAAGTCGAACGCCGAGATCGACCAGATACAAGCAAACACTACCAGACGACGGAAATGCCTTTCAAATGAGCAGAAAGGACGAACCAACGCCGATAGGAAGAGAATACAATCGTTCTATAGATCTCAAAATGAGAAAATCGAGCGCCTCTTAAAACCCGTCGATGAGCATATCAGGCATGCAAAGGAGTTGAACGAACAGAATCAACTCAAGTACAAGATTGCAGTGTATGGTAGCTTTGCCGCCAACGTTGTCCTGTCTATTCTACAGGTTTATGCTGCCGTATCCTCGGGGTCCCTGTCCCTATTTACCACGATGGCAGACGCCATATTTGACCCCATGTCAAACCTGACTCTGCTCCTCTGCCACAAAGCTGTCAAGCGAGTTGATGCCCGCCGATTCCCAGCCGGAAAAGCCCGCATCGAAACAGCTGGAAACATCTTCTTTTGTTTCCTGATGACTGCGGTCTCCTTTATCCTCATTGCTTTCTCGATCAAGGATCTGGTTGGAGGCAGCACTTCTGATACAAACGACTTCCATCTCACGGCTACTATATCCGTGTGTATCGCCTTTGCTACAAAGTTGACCCTTTTCTTTTACTGCTGGGCGATTCGCAACCAGTATTCCCAGGTTAGAATTCTTTGGGAAGACCATAGAAACGACCTTTTCATCAACGGATTGGGTATTTTGACCTCTGTGGGCGGAAGTAAGCTCCGGTGGTGGATTGATCCCTCTGGTGCCCTGTTGTTATCCGTTCTTATTTCATTCTTGTGGACCAAGACTGCCTACTCCGAGTTCCAACTTCTAATCGGAGTTACAGCTGATACCGAGATGCAACAACTCATCACCTATATATGTAAGTGCCGTTATTCTCCATCATTATTGTATATGTTCTATAACTTATTTTTATCACAGCCATGACTCATTCTCCTCTGATCACCGCTATTGACACTGTACGCGCATACACTTCTGGCCCTCGTTTACTTGTGGAAGTCGACATTGTCATGGACAGAAATGAGTCTTTGGAGGCTACACATGATGTGGCAGAGGAGCTTCAAACGAAATTGGAAAGTCTCCCAGACGTTGAACGAGCCTACGTCCACGTTGACTATGAAACTACACATAAACCGGAACATTTCCTGAAGAAGGAGCTATAGTGTTCCTGATTTTCGGCAGAGGTTCTATTTTGTGATGTTTCACCTAATGTTCGGAGAACTATAACGTTTGGATAGACAGAAACTCTCCCGGCGGCGTTCAGGTTTTTTCTTTTGCGATGATGCGGGTTGGCTGGATTGTGATGAAGCTTTAATCAAGCTTGAAAGTTGATGATAAAAGCAACCACACAACTAACTATTGTATACTCACTTATGTAATTCAGTTTCACTCCTCTTGATATGGTAAATGGTCCTTGGAGAACCGTTTAACGAACAGTTTATTATTCATATACCATTAACGTCGTATGACTATATACTTTGACACCATGTACAACATTAGATCCTGTATCTTACAGGTTCAACATTCCAGCGTTCCTTGCCAATGTCCAACAAGCAAAACCTACGGCCCCTAAACCCAAGGCCCAGCGGCCAAGTACACCGCCGAGGGCCACGATGTGTGAAAGAAGCATGGCATTATGTTTCTTCTTTAATTCGGCCTCTTCATTGACCCATGGAAATTCCACATCCGGCACCGGCTTTCCAAGGAACTCGCACAGTGGCCCCCATCCCTCGCCCATCCGGTAATGAAGTAGTTGGCCTGGCGGTACAAGCCCTTCGATCTTTCTGTAGTACCTATCGTAAACGTCGCGCGCATTCCTCCGGGCACCTTCGACATCTCTCGCTTGAAAGAAGCCAAGCAATACCCTCCTCATAGCTGAAGCACTCGAGCGACCTAAAATTGGTTGTATGACCCCACAGAAGAGATCTGACATCGGGTTCCAGAGCCCCTTTAACACAACCCTATCCATGCTCGTGAACCATCGATCAAAATCCCGCTTGACCAAGACCACTTTGGCATCGGGATACACCTCGACAAGCTGAGGCCCAAACATGGCGGCCGCCTCGGTGACAGCTTCGCGGTTGCCATACACTTCATCCCACTGTTCCCGGCTGAAGGTCCGACCATGGTATGTCGGCAGATCTGGAAAGGTGGCATCAGCGGCGCGATTAAATACAAGCCATGCCGCTTCGCCGCCGTCTTCGTCCGTTAATGTATGGTGGACGTTCTGGTAGCCTAGGATGGAGAGCGCATTCGCCATTGAAAGAGTGCCGGACCGTGGCAAGCCCAGCGCGAGAACCTTCATCTCGAGCGGCCGCGGCTTAAGGCCGGTAGAATGTTCCATGGTTTTCGTCGGATTCTGGTGGTTGCTTCTTTTGTTCGTGGCCAGTAACCAGAGCGGTACAGCGTCGGGAGGAAAAACGAAACAAAATAAATGAGGCGCAGAGTTGGACACGCAGTTAACTCTCTAGCACTATGAGATTTATATCAATCGGAGCTCGGGACCAGAGTGACCCATCGTCCTCCGAAGAAATTTTCTACGGCGGTCCTGGGGCGGTCTGTTCGCCAGGTAACGATCGCAGGGATGCTCTCGCTTCAATGCCCAGCAGGGTTGGCTTCCTCCCATTTATACTCCATACAACGCTGGTCGACATACGAAGGGCAACGGAACCCTCCAACTGCCGTCGAAACCGACCATAGAGGGAGCGGTGTGCGTCTATTGACGATAGACACCACCCAAGCTCGGAGCTTAGCTTTATCGGTGCCATTTTTCAAGGACAGCTGCTTCTTCGCCTCAAATAGTAGAAAAATCCTTGAAGGCTAAGGCTTCTAGCAATTCTATCGCACCTTGGCGCGTGAGAACTGTATCACGAGACCCGCCCACTTCAAAGATCGCCCACCTAATCATACCGATAGTGACAGCAGACATTGAAAACCCCCAACGATCATAGAAATCCCCTGGAGTTGAATGTGCTGATAATAGGTATCTCCAAAAAATATACGATTAAAATAAAAATCCAGGCGCTTAAATAAGTTTAGCCAAGCATGCAGAAAGCCAATGAGGAGCCTCGTTTTGAACCAATAATAAATTAAAGTTTCAACCAATCACAGCTTCCATTCAAGCTTTAATAGGCCCACTTCCCGCACCCCTGAAGTTTAAAACGACGAATAACTACATAACACTTTTGTGTACTTTTCCCCAACACGTCAACAGCGCAATGGGGCAGATATTTTGGACGTCCTTTTATTCAGCTTACAACAAGTACTTGTATGACGATATATCACTGTTTGCAGATGCTGTGATAGGGGAACTAGAATATTAAATTACACCCGTTGAAGGATGAATATGTTTTCCGCAAATTCAGATTCATCATCCTCGATAACAGAGCTTTCCAATCTCCGCTCCACGACCCGCAAGCCTGCCGCTTCAACGGCTGCAAGAAGCGCACTCTCAGAGAACCACCGTAGCGTCTGCCTAACATGATAGCGTTCGATTTCCTTTTCCTCGCAGTTATCCCTCTGCTCAAAGACCTGCACTTCCTGGCGGTAAATAACGAGGTCCCCTTTGTACTCGCTCTTCTTCATTTCACTGCAATACCGGATTCTGGGGAACTCTGCGCTCTGGAGATCTGTCGGTGGTGGCATTGTCTCGTCGTCCTTCCGGGCTTGAAGATCATCGTCAGGTCGAATCAAGAACCAGTTGAAAAGAGATATATATGCTCTGCCTGTCTCTGGGGTGAGAACATTGCTAATCTGTTGCAGTAACTTTTCCAATTGCCCGTCCTCGACCATGTGTACGATGCTGCTGAGTGGGAAAGTGAGAAAGTCGACAGTGGCATGCTTGTTCTCTTGGGGTGAGAAAATTGGTAACTGGTCGAGGGCCAACATATCTCCCAACACCCAGGTGACAGGGAGAGAAAGCCCCTTAGTCTTGGACTCTAATTTGGCAGCTAGATCCAGCATATTCTTCGAGTTATCTAGGCCAATCATCTTTATATTGCTTGTGTCGAACGATACCTTCGCCATTCGTTTCATAACACCGAGAGTCACGCGTCCGGAGCCAGTACCGAGCTCAAGAAACGTGATCGGATGAGTTACTCCAGCCGTCCTGTTCTTGGTAACTGCATCAATGAATGCACGGGCGTAGAAGTCGACATCCGTCATATTTGGCCCCGCCCATTGAAGCTCATAGAGCTCCGCCAGATAAGGCGAGCTATAGAAACTGGTTGTTTCAATGGTCATTTTCTTGAGCAAAGCTGAAAGTCAGTTAAAGTCCGAGTGGTGAGTAACTATCGAGCGTTGCAAAGAGTTGATTATGAAAAGTATAGGGAGCGGAAGCTGTGTTTATATGTAACCCAGTCTCAGGGGCACCCTCAACTACAACATCCGCACGGAGTATACCTCCGTTTACGTGGCCGGCTAGCCAAACTGCTCTCAAATTGACTGTATGAGACAACCCAAGCCGACATGCAGGAGCCAGCTAACCGCTAGCTTGGGCTACTTCAAAATATTCTTTGAGAGAATACTCCATAGTTGAACAAGGCTTGTCGTGTCGTTTCAATTTGGTAGTTAAAGTTAGTCGCTCCGCAGTAACGCCCAATGGTATGCTTTGCTCACAGTAGTTGTGGGAAAAAAAGTACATGGAGGCAAAAGTAATGTTGATCTGGAAATGGTGGACAACGTAGCACCACAGACGGGCACACATGTACGTCAATCCTCCGTATAACAAACGGGCACTGCAACCCGAAACCCTACCATTTACGCTTGAATTTGTAGCCAAAATCAAACTCGCCATGTGGGTTCCCGCTTTGACTGTGTAACTGCAGCACCCGGAGACAAATCCTCACAGCGCTTTAGCACCAGTAGCTAACGAATCTTTGAAATTTGTTTACACGTTGGACAAGTCACAAACATCGCGAATGCATCTCGACCTATAATGGAGTATGTCTTATAAGTGACCAATGCTTTCAAGTAAAATAGCCGGGGGAGGCGATGGCTAATGACATGCGAGGGACGATGATCGTTTGATCACTGGGGCGATGGAGAAAATAGCCAGGGATAACCAAAGATAAACAGACGAGAAGTCAATCATAATATGAGGGATTGCGTAGACCTATTACTATTCAATGCAAGAGCTTGCTTCCTTGACGACAGAATATCAAAACCAATCGTAAGCACTGTATCCCTTTCTCGTCTTCGGTTGCTGCACAGTAGCTATCCGTATAAGTACTCAGCTAATGCATAATCGGAATCCTCAGTCACATCCACCAACTCCACTCCCGAAAATCTCATCTTTCTTTGTTTCCCTGTCCCAGACCCGTCTTCCGTCACTTTTCCTTTTGAAATAGACGATCCGGTGTTGAGGGATGAACTCTTCGTCCGTCTGCTCTGACTTCCATCTCGAAAGAGGCATCTCTTTTACGCCTAAGAAGCGGTCCTCATAGCCTACCAGGAAATCTCCAAAGTCAATCTTGGGGTCCCAACGCAGACGACTGATGACATCTGCAGCCGGTCGAAGTTTGTTGGCGCCAGTCGGTTTGGATGGCAACGGCGTATTCCTGGAGTGTAATTTTGATTTACCGCCAGCATGGGCCTCCCCAAGCAGTGTATCTCTCGCTTCGTTCTCGCCATCGAGATCATCCTCTTCGTCATCATCTTCCGAAAAATCTGATACCATCTGGTCCACGCCATCTTGCCCTCCCCAGTTCCTTAAATCGAGTTTAAGTTCTCCTACTTCAGCTTGTTTGACGTGTGTGGCGTCAATCCAACAGACAGTGGGGTCAAAGTACTTCGACTCTTCGTGTAAACTAGCTGTAAACCGGGTTATAGTAGCATGTAAGGTTTGAAGGCGTTCCTCTTTATCAGCTCCCGTATTCACGGCATCTGCTAGTCGTTCAAGTCCCACCAGGTAGCAACCTTGGTACTCTGTCTCTCCATCATCCGGGCTATCAGGACTATCTTTGGACGTGAATCTAGCAGGCCAGATTCGCCCATAAACACCTGGGACTTGCCTATCGAGATCTGCATAGTTTCAGCGCTGACAATCAAGTCATAATAGTTAGACTGCAGGGCAGATTACATACCGTTAAGTAGACGGAAGAACCTGGACTCGATCCAGCCAACGAGCGAACTGGCCTGGGTCGGAGAAGGCCCCCAGTACTGTACATTGACCTTGATATAACTGTTGTGAGCTCCCAGGAACTTTTCAGCGCCCGTTTCTTTATTGTGGCTGATACTTGTATCGCGCAAAATATTAGACCATCTTGCTCCATTTTCAGCCAGAAGCTCTTCTGCACGTTTAAATGCAGAGGCAATAGTCCTTAGAGAATGTGCAGTCACAGCTCTAGCGACATTGACTGTGGGGACATGAACCGTTAGAATCACCATTGGTTCTCTCATTGACCGACGATACCTCGACTGCACTCCAGGGCTTACTACCATGCTGTTCTTCCAGTCAAAATGCGCATAATGGTGGAAGAACATGGCGACTAGCTCCGGAATTGTAACTCGTCCAACCTTTCCATGCAGAAGTTGGTGAAGCCGTGAAAGCATCATGGTGATATGAATACCGCCTAGTAACCCAAACTTCGAGGTGTAAACTCCAGATGATTTGGCCCACTGTGTAATACACCGGTGAGCAAGACGGAACACGTTCATGTCTGGTACCATTCGTTTGATATACTCCTGGTCCCTGTACGGTTGGAGTTTCGACAAGGAATGAAGCGACAGGTCAAATATTGGGTCGTTTGAGGGAATCCTAGAGACTTCCTGCCATCTATACGCAAGCTAAATCAGTTGCAAGTTCCAAAATTTGGTATGACCTAGAATTCTAGGTTAAATATTTACCTTTCAGCAATATTTGCGGCCGGGCAGTATTGTAGGTCGAGTTTAATATTTCCAGATTGTAGCTCCAGCATCATCCCCGTTGCAGCCTTGACCTTTCTCATGATACGAATCCCCAGGGCTGACGCTTTTCTCAGCCTCTGTATTGCAAGAGAAAAGAACGTGGTAGAGCTAATGGCACCGATACACAAACAGTCAACATCGGAATCTGGGCTCCAAGTACCCAGACCATAGGAGCCAACGGGGATCAAAACAAGTGGTGTTTTGATATCCCTACCGCTGGAGTCACGGATGGGTTCAGTCAATATCTGAGCAAGAGTAGCGGCGACTGCTTTTCGAGACTTGAGATCTTCGCTGCTAGGAAGCAAGGAGGAGTTCTCCAAACAGGCCACAATTTCGTCTAAAGAAGACAGAGCGTCTGGTAAACTCGTCAACTGCAGTGCAGTTTCTTGAGAGACTGTTTCGCTAGCTTTGTTCTCTGTCGAGGTGTAGCCAATTTTAACATCGGCTCTTATGCCCCAATGGTCACTGGCAAAATCAGACATCCGCAAATCCTCGCATTGAAGATCATTGCGTAGGCCAAAAAAGTTGAAATCCGTGACACTGGTTTTACCAGTTTGACGAACAAAGATTCTATCATACCTATGAGGCCTGCCCTTGACCGAATATTGAGCTGCAAGCGGGTTCAGAATGGGGTCAAAGGTCGCTCCCTGTTCTCCCACCCCTAGCATGTTATCAAAACCAGTGTCTCCGGGTTCTTCGCCCGCTACAACCCATCCATCCATGAAATGAGCCTTGGATAGTAGGCAATTGAATCCTAATATTTTCTCAGCACCAGCTGAGGAAATCATGTTTTGTTTGAGAGCTTCATCAATAACCTCTTGTGAAGTCGGGAAGTTAAAATCGCCTGCAATAACACTAGGGTGGCCGTGATAATCACTGTCCAGCGAGTGTATGATGCTGTTTATCTGTGACACTTTACTGTCAACTGCAGCATCACTCAGTCCCGACGTTAGGTGGACAGCAACAACCACTGCGGGAAGAGAGGACTTCAAATCTCCAATCTCATCAATTTTTATAATGGCTGCACCCTTGTGGCGTTCATTAAACGGTAGCCATGTCCAAGTAAACCTCCACTGAGAAAGGACGACGATATTCCGGAGACTAGGGAGGGGAGGAGACCCCCGTTGGCCTGGAGGGCCATGGGTGACAAATGGGTATCGACGTTGAATGTCTTTATGCGAAAGCAGAAATAGAAGAAAGCTATCACAAACCTCCTGGAGGACTAGAACGTCTGCCAATGCGTTTGTGTAGAGAATATTTCTGAATAGTGCCTCATATCTGTCCTGTGGAGGGGGCCTGGTAAACTCGGCCAGGACATTATATGTGGATATTGTGAAGTTGTTGTTTCTCACAGTAACTGGCTCTAGAGGCGACTCCGTTATAGGACACCAGGAGCAGTTGGCAGGCGAATATTCGTACGTCGTCATTTTCTCAGCAGGCGATGTCGACTCGTCGGTATCCGTACCCAAACCATGGAGAGACATTCCACTATATAACTGGGAAAGCTCATCGGAATTTGACATGTTATTGCCGGAAAGATCGACGGCATCCCAGATAACCATTTTGCTTGCTGAACTTCCGCCAAACCCCTTTTCACGATGGAGAATCACCAGATGGTCAAGGTCCCAGTGGACAGCTGGGAGCATGTTGGTTTTGTCAAGTAGAAAGTCACGCAAGTCCTCGTCTGCCTTTGTCTGGCCGATGGTGAGGTGTGGACAGTAATCCCGCTCCTCTTTGCCATCATGGCCGAGTGCTTCTAGAATCGAGGCTCTAAGATAACGGAGCTGGTTCCTTGTCCCGTTCTCCAGAGTGAGGTGGACGGTATGTCCTCCACGGTTGCGAAAGTAGCCTGCAGGTCCAGATTGTATGGTGACACCATCCTGGCGCTCAGGCGATTGCTTTAAAGAGTTCAGCTTCTCCTGTATTAATCTAGAGGCATCTGGTAGTCTATCTGTCGGTACAAAGGGGTAGATGAGGTTGATATGCGGAGGCCATCTGCCATAAGCCTGGTCGTATAGAGACCGAAGCCGGTCGATATCCTGCCACAGATGTCGAGGCGGGACGATGCAAAGCGCTGTCTGGAAAGATAAAAGAGACAAGCTGCTCGCCTGGGGAGATTCTTCTTGGGCTGCCATGAGGTGTTATCCGTCAATTGCGATGTATGTATAAAGGGGTAAAAAGGAGTATATCAGCGTCGTCTACTGATCAAGAGCGGCACCACAGGCCTTTTCCATGTTTTAATAAATAAATAGCGATGCCCTCGCCAGTTGAATCCTTCGACCCCGATCTTGATAACTACATCCGCCACTTGAGTCAGAGAGGCCTGGCTGTCTTAACTGATGCAGGGCCACCGTCGTGAAGACGCAGCTCGCGCCACGCCAGCAGCAGCTCTAGAGAGTCGTTATGCCTGCCATTCGACTCAGAACCAGCCCTAGATAAAGCCCAATACTCCGTAGTCACTCGTAAAACAGAGTCATATATAGTTATATATTCCTTTTGGTGCTATCGATGACTCTTCCCGTAGTCACTTCAGTTAGTTGTTTCAGCCAAAAACACAGCGATGAGTCAGTGGCCAGCGCTTTCTCTCGCGCGCTTCCTCCATCGCCGTCGCCGTCGCACTTTCGCCTTCTTTTCCATCATACTCCGTAGTTAATAATAACACTGAATATATAGTCAAGAGGTGCAGCAAAAAAGAGCAAAAAAAGGGGCCCTGCCGCGACTCGAACGCGGGGCCTCTCGCAACTTTGGTGACCCAAAGCGAGAATCATACCACTAGACCACAAGGCCGATCTTGATGAAGGGCGCCTGCTTTCCGCCACTTGTGCTAGACGCTAGAGATCGATGGTCAACGAAGATTAAGGGGGATGCTTACTATCAGACGAAAGGACGATACTTTAGCCCCTGAGATAGTCGTTTGGCAAGGGAGGCATGTCGGGATGGATGCAGCAGAACATGGGTGGTTCGTTATACGAATACGAAATACACATTTATTAAATAACCACTCCGTAGCTAAGGCAGAATTGTATATACAGATCATCTAATCAATAAATAACATCTAGAACACTATAAAACATCGTCACCCTAGAGAGCAGTAAAGACCACCGCTGCAAGGACGGACATACACAGAACTGCCCATTTACCTGCAACGCTGACACGGACAGCAGCCGCCTTCTTTGCCTCGGAGGCCGTGGTAGTTGGCTTAGCAGTCGGGGTCGCCAACACCTGGGCTGGAGCACCGTATGTGTTCATCTCCTTGTCAAAGGCCAAACAGGCAGTGGGCAGACTCAGCTCTGTAGAAGTGACAGTGGCCTCCAGCTGCTGGAGAAACTCACCGCGCGGCAGATCAAGTTGCAGCTCTATAAAGGGAACGACGTTGAACTCAAGACTTGGCTCGACGTGGGTGAAGTTGCCGATGAGGCTGTCGATGAGGCTGCCGTTCTTGCTCATATCGCCTCCTTGCCCTGGGACATGTGGGATCATTTCGCATGCTTCGTCGACGTTGTCGAGCTGGCTGATTTTAACTGATGCCTGGGGCATGTTGAAGGTCACGCCTGCTCCGCCACTGATAATCCCGGTAGGAGAGCGTATGCCAAAGAGGATCTCCGGCGAGAAACTGATGGAAAATGTAAGGTCTGTGATACCCTGGGAGGACTGGAAGGGAATCTCCGTAAAGGTAGTATGTTGGCTGACAGAGTATTGATTAGCCCGCGGTCTGTGATACTTCTTTCTAGCCACTGTCACTTACAGTCCTTTGATTGTTGAGTTTGCAGGAGATCCAAAGTTGAGAGTGAAGCCAGAGTCCTCTGGAACCTATAGTTATCAAGAGATACGGTTAATGCTTCTCGTATGCCAAGGTTTACGGCTGACAGGGAGAACATACCGAGATGTCCACGCCGTAGCTGAAATTCAAAGGCTTGCTCAGAGCAACCTCTACAGATACCTGGGGGGTCAATATAGCCCCAAATTGAACCACTTGAGGGATCTGCAACCTGTTAGCCTAGGGTAATCCGCAACACACATTTAAAACTTAACTGGGAGCACTCACCATGAACGGGGTAAGAGGGACTGAAGGCATTGGCACAGTGAAGTTGAGTAACTCTTTACCGGCTTCCAAAGCCAGTTCAAGCTCCATCCGAGCAAACATCTTGCTAAGCTCCATATCCACTAGTCCTTCACTAACGAATGCAAGGGCAGATGTCAGGCCAGAATCATCGCTGCGATTCATTGAGAATGAGCCTGTTGATAAAACTACATCTCCATTAATACTGCACTCTTTGCAAGATAGCGTTATCCCTGCCGGTCTTATTTTGGGAGAATGTTAGTCAAAAACGCTTCCATGACAGTGCAGGGTTAAAGACTCACAATCCCAAAACATCACTGATTATATCTGAGTCAGGGGGTAACAGCTTCTTGTCCTTGTGATTAACAGCGATACTTCCTCCGCCATTCTTATGAGATGGGATATTTGAAGGCACGGTAGGGAAGATGACGTTGGGAACGGTGGAAGTCGGAAGTTCTTCCGAGGTAGGCGT